TCTGTTAGAAACCGGATACTTGGATTGCCGATGCTAAATTTATATCAGCGTGCCAATGCTTAATTCACATCACAGCCTCACATATGTTTTACAGCATATCCCAACCGTGTATCAAGAACATCTCCTAACCCTAATGACAGAAAGATATTTCCRATGCACGCTGAAATGTTAATGTGGGGGCGCTGATGTGGTCTCAAAATTGCCATCCCTGGGCGGCCGGGCTTGCTTCAGACCGGATTCGTCTCAAAATTGCCATCCACCACGGTATGGTGGATACTGGATGGTTTTATCATTTATGGCGTGACGAGCCAAAGTTGATATCTAGAAATTCATTTTCGTAATATGTCATCAGATAAGAATTAGGAAGCTTCCTCGTTGAAATTAACTTATCTATCCCCGTCTTTTTTCTATTGCAGTTTGAGAGACGAGGGTATTTCAGAGATTTCAAATTTATCCCTTTTTAATTGTTAATATAGTTGACTCTTGGTCATTTTTTAATCAGTCTTTTTGTTTTTATGATATTCCAGTCAACAGTCGACAGTCAGTTTATTTGTCTGTATGCGAAAACCGGGGCTTTCCTTACGGAACGGGATCTGCTCCTCACACAGGAGCGCCTCACATGCACATCCACCGTGCATTGGGAACATATAAGTACGGAAGAGGTTATCAATGGCAATGTATGATACGATATGCGCGTGAGGCGCGAGTGAGGCGCACTTAGTAAGGAGCAGATCCGGTCTCTTTTCTTACTCCACAAGAAATTGAAAAAAAGAGAAAAAGAAAACCGCACACGTAGAAGAATCTCCTATAAATAGGAATAGGCGAATTGCCCCTGTCAGAGGCAAGGCAGCTCATTCATCTTTGTCTTTGGCGTTGGTGGAGAGTGAAAAGAAACGGCAGAAGAAATTGAAATTGCGGTTGCGGGGATGGCTGACGGCGATTCTCAGCATGACCTGAAATTCATTCTCTCCTCCGGAGAGAGAGACTTCCTCGTTCGGAACAATGGCGATCAGGTTTGCCCATTCCCGTTCCAGTAGTTAGTGTATTTCATATCACGCTATCGTTTTCATTTCGTCCGTCTCTCTCATCTCAATTCTCAAATAGTGGTTTCTCGTTATTTTCGAGAAATCTTTTATCTCAGTGGGTTCATTAATTAATCAAACACTTGTTTGCTCCTGAATATCTTCCTTCCAGCTCCGCCGCCTAAATATAGACTGCCTTTCATTGGATAATTGAATTATGCGGATGAATTCTGGTTTGACATTCAGACTTCAACTGGTTCATGGCAGCAATAGTTTAATTAAACTAGAGTTTCTCTTAAATTAGGAATTAGTAAACTACTGGAAGGGTGTTTCAGCCAAATCGAATAAGTCGTGCTTTGTAAATTGCAGGTAAAGATAAGCGATTTGAGCGGCAAGACCACTGGACTCTACTTCTCGGCTTCATGGTGCGGGCCGTGTCGGCGATTCACTCCAGAACTTATAGATGTTTACAACGATCTCTCGGCGAAGGGCGGTTTCGAGATCGTCTTCGTGTCTGCCGACCAGGATGAGGAGGAGTTCAATGGGTATTTTTCCAAGATGCCATGGCTCGCAATTCCGTTCTCTGATTCCGACACCCGCGATCGCTTGGATGGAATTTTCCAAGTAAACGGGATACCACACCTTGTGATCCTCGACGCAAATGGGAAGGTTTCGACTGAAGAGGGTGTTGAGATCATCGGAGAGTATGGCGTGGAAGCCTACCCATTTACGTCGGAAATCATCAACCAACTCAAAGAGGAAGAAGAGGCAGCCAAGAAGGAACAGTCACTGAGATCTATCTTGGTTTCCTCCTCTCGTGACTTTCTGATTAGTAACGACGGGAACAAGGTGAGCTTGAAGAATCACCACCCATCTTCTCTACGCCTTACTAGTATTTTTTTCTTTGTTAGAATGCAGCATTAATTGATCAACTGCCGTAACAAGAGCTCAATCTTCATAATTTACAGCCATTTCCATGGCCTTGACTACGAAATTCCCTAATCTCTTTTCTGTAATAGGTTCCGGTCTCAGAGCTTGAAGGGAAGGTGGTGGGTCTATATTTCTGCTCGTCTTTTTATGGTTCCTGTGTAGAATTCACCAAGGAATTCGTGGGAATTTACAATGAATTGAAGGAGAAAGCAGAGAGCTTTGAGGTTGTCTTAATTTCCCTTGATGACGACGAAGAATCATACAAGAAAAGTTTTGAAATCGTGCCTTGGCTAGCATTACCCTTCAAGGACAAGAGTATCAGCAAGTTGGTTCGATACTTTGAGCTCTCGACGGTTCCCACACTGGTTATAATTGGGACTGACGGAAAAACTCTCCATTCCAATGCTGTCAAGATCATCGAAGAACATGGTATTCAGGGATACCCGTTTACAGCTGAAAAGTTAGCAGAACTTGCAGAGATTGAGAAGGCCAGACTCGAAGCGCAGACACTCGAATCAATTTTGGTCTCAGGGGATCGGGATTTCGTGATTGGGAAGGACGGTGCCAAGGTAAGAGACAATTAGCTAGCATACCGGTTTTATCAGATTAATGAAGAGCTAGCATTTATCGTCACTATTGACTGAAATTTGTCTTGAATAATCTCAGATTCCGGTGTCAAAACTTTTGGGGAAAAATATCCTGCTCTACTTCTCGGCGGAGTGGTGCCCTCCATGCCGTGCTTTTCTGCCCAAACTAATTAAGGCATACCATGAGATCAAGGCAAAGGATGACGGATTCGAGGTAATCTTTATCTCGAGCGACAGTAACCAATCTTCCTTCGATGAATTCTACTCGGGTATGCCTTGGTTGGCACTCCCCTTCGGTGACGAGAGGAAGAAGTCGTTGAATCGCAGATTCAAGGTTACTGGAATCCCTACTGCCGTAGCCATTGGATCCAGTGGCAGGACTGTTACAACAGATGCAAGAAATCTGCTGATGGCACACGGAGCTGATGCTTATCCTTTCACAGATGAGCGTGTGAAGGAGATTGAGTCGCAATTAGAGGAAATTGCAAAGGGGTGGCCTAAGAATGTGAAGCACCCACTCCATGAGCATGAGCTTTTCCTTACTCGTCGTAGGATTTACAATTGTGATGGGTGTGAGGAAGTAAACACTGGGTGGTCTTTCTATTGCAAGAAATGCGACTATGATCTCCATCCCCAGTGCGCACTCAAGGCCAGTGATGATGCTATAGAGGAGAATGCTAATGGTGACAATGAAACCAAAGAAGGATGGATCTGTGATGGGGAAGTTTGTTTTAAAGCTAATTAACAAGTTACTTGTGATTTTCGTTTCTACTTTCTTGTTGGAACTTGTGGATTCTGTATTTCTATTTATTTTCTATTTGGCTTGTTTTGAGTTGCCTCCATGGCTATATATGGCTATGGGCTATGTCTGTAAGAGCCTAAGAGGTTGTGGTTGTGGTGTTAAGAACTGTCCAGTTTGATTAATAGTTTGATATTATCAATTCCTTCTCTCTCTCTCTCCAAACCCTTGGTTATGTTGTGATGGCCAACATTGAACCATCTAATTCAATCAGTCAAGAGACAAATAGAATGCATTGGAATAAAGGGAGAGAGTTCACTGTTCACATCCTCTCCCCTTGATACAGAAAATTTTCTGTTCCACTACCAATGGAACAGAGGATGTGATTTCGAAGGGAGAGTGATACCTGTTACTCGCCATGAGAAAAAAAACGGGACAATAGCGGTGAGTAGCAGGTCCGATTTGCTACCCACTACTATAGCCACAATACACATATCAGAATCATTTCAGTTGCCATTTATGGAAGAGATGTTCGCTATGCACAAGGACTGTAGTGTATTGTGGGTACATGTAGATCCGAGCTCGTGGGTGAGAGGTGCGATCCACCGAAACCCTAACCTGACCCGGTGTAAGAAAATGTGGTGCTGCGATAGTTTGATCTAGAGGCCTGATTTTAGGATTTTGGATTTAGTTTGTCTAAGACAATTATTTTCTTTAGGTCAATGCTTTCCATATTTTCATTGTTTGAGATAATGAAAGGACATGTACTGCAACCACTAATAGGCTTGTAATCGGACGGGATTCATCTAAAGGGAAAATTCTCGATCATTATCCTATACTTTGGCCAAGTGACAATTTGGTTCTTGAATAAATTCAGTGCTCCAATTTTTAATTTGTGACAATTTAATAACTGGCGTAGTCAAAGTATCACGTGAGATAAGGTGCATTTTAAATAATTTCATAATATCAAAATTGACCTTTATGATAATATTCGGATCATTTTACTTTTTTTTTTTTTTTCTTTTTACCCTATTCCCCTTTCTCTTCAATTGGGCTGAACGAACAACTGAGGTGGCATTAACTGACCGTTTCGGATTTAAAATATGCCTAAAAGAGAGATTCCCTTGCCTTCTCTCTCACGTTTGTTGCATCTACAAGGGGCATGAGTCTGCTCTACCTGAAAAAAACACAAAAATGAACAGAAAATAATAACCCTACATATTCCCGTGATTACAAGAACCCACTTAAATGCTTCTGATTCGTTAAACAATGATATTGAGAAGTTCATCCCAAAGACCCCAGCCACTGCTCCGAAGATTGCAATGACCAATGTTGCAGTACTAAGCAGGTCAATCTTTCAGTAAGTTCTTAAGTTAAGAATTTAACTATAATCCTTCGTCGTTGGGACAGGGCTTAATTGATCACTTTCAGGTCAATCTTTCGGTAAATCTCTAAATCCCAACTATATGAGAGGTGGTACAGCAGTGGATGGGGCTCAAGCATCAAATATAGAGGCCCATCAAAACGCGAACAGCAAAAGAGAGAGAGCAAGCAGCAGAAAGCCATAATCCAAAAACCATGTCTTCCGGATTCTCCACCGGTGAGTGAGTCCCAACCGAAGACGGTTGAGCCAAACCAGGTGAAATCTATTCAAACCTCTTCTGTGTCTCTGTCTGTGGGGCTCTGTTCTTCTGTTCTATCTATATCGATGGGGTCAATCAAGCCAGACACTTTGTCAGCACTCCGACGGAGGAACTTGATAGCTTCTTCACTGCTCCACACAAAGCTCGATCTCCCCCCAGTGTTGAGCTCAAGCTTTCCCAACGGCGAAAAGTCGTTGTCGTTGCCCAATGATTTCGAGCTTGTCTCTTTACAATCACAAACTTATACTTCCTTAAGGGACTTGATGCCTTCATCCCCTGGCGCAGTAGTCCAGTCTCCGACCGGCCCCGGTTCTCAGTTCGGCCATGAGATTTCCATCAAGAACCGCCTCATCAAGCAGGATGCCTGGGCTTACCTCTAGCCCATGTCTTTTCTCGTGGACTCCTCCGGCCGACATTCTTCCGGAGGATGTGGACCAGGTTTTCCGGCGAGTACTTGAGGAATGCAGTCAGTGCATGTATTGGGTTCAACAATCGGAAATTTATCCCAAGAATCACACGTGTCTTTGATCGGTTGCTCGACAACATTTGGGTAGGATGGAGACATGAAGGGCGACTTTAGTAATGGTAGCTACCTACCTCGCTGACGGTGATCGGTGATGGTAACGGTGACTATTATGAACCTCTGTGTAATTGACAAAATAGAGTTTGTTTTCAATGTGAATTTAATACCTATACTTTTGTTCAAACTTCCGTTTCTTATATAAAGAGGTGGAGAGAGATGCAAACTAAAGAGAAAAAAATGAAGAATTAACTGTAATTAATTGAAAAAAAGAAGAAGAAAAGGATAATCTTTGGATTACAAATTGTGTTTTTTCTTCCTACATTTTCTTTCGCGTGGCCGTCTACGAAGAGTTTCATCCATAGTTGTTTGATGAATGGTGGCGGCGTCTTGTCTATAACCGTACTCTGAGATGGTGTCGGAACCCAGTTTTGGGAACCATGTGCGATACACCTGCGGTGGTGATGTCGAAAATAAGATGGGCATTTGCGTCTTTTTATGCCTTTACCGACAGTGATTTAATGCCAGTTACCGGATTGTCGCAAATTGAAAATTTAAATAATGAATTGTCGTATTTTAAAGTTCGGGCATCAAATTWTTACTCGAGCCAAAGTATGAATTTTTTCTCATCTAAATCTAAAATTAATCTGATAAAGAATTTTTCTTTTTTCTTTTAAAAATGTCCATAAGGCTCAGTTTGGTAGGAGTGTAAATACAAATATATATTGTACATATACGTATACAAGGTTTTGCACTCTACAAATTTGGATTTATACTCCTTTTGTACTGAGCCTAAAGAATTAATGGCATCCAAATCCCATCCGAACTATGATAGGATGTATGAATAATGCATTAGACTATTAGAATTGATTTTGATCGGGTTTTAGATTTCATCCAATTTCAATGGGCTTACTCTAGACCCAATATAAAGAGAGGTGGGATATGCTCCTCACACAGGGCACCTAACAGGCACATCCCACCGTGCATTGGAAACATCTCCTGTAAATAATAACACATAAGTACGGGAGATATTTCTAATGCATGGTTGGATGTGTCTGTGAGGTCCARGTGAGGTGCTATGTGTGAGGAGCAGATCTGGTCTCATATAAAGATGTCTTGTTTAAAATATTTCAAATCTCTTGCCCACGAGAACTCTGCCCATCTCTACTCACAGCACATTACCCCCATGAATTGGGAACATCTCCCCTTTCATAATACAATGTAGGAGGATGAGATGTTCTCCATGTGTGGCTGTGATGTTATGTCGATAGACATGGCAGGAGATCCWAACTCTATTTAAAAGCCCAGTTATGTACTAAATACATTAAAGGCTTTAAATTTTTATTCAAAGCAAGGTTTTAAATTTCTTTTATTTAAAACAATACTTAAAATTCAATGAAAACGAATAAAGATTTTAATTTATTATGTTTGATATGACCAAAACTGACCACTAGTTAAAAATCGTCGTGGTAATAGGCTAGGGAGCAAAGTAGTTAATTGACCTAAGAGTAGTTAAAAGGACAAACTTACCTAGGAGTAGGAGTGCAAATGGGACCGGATCATGATCCGACCCTATTTGATCGAATTTGGATCACCTCTATCTAATTCGAGAATATCTGATCCAATATATATTATATATTTATATATATAATATATATGTTATTTATTTATTTATAAATATATTTTTATAAATTTGTTATATTATTTATTTTTTTATAAAAAAACATGTATATATATGATGAAAATAATTAAAAATACTTGTATTTTTGGTTTTTACTTTATTTAAATTAGTATATTTTATTTTTCTTTTAATAATTTAAAAATTTTAAAAGAAAACAAATCAGATCAGATTAGATMTGAAGATCCGACTTACCGATGGTTCAAGTTCATATCGAGTCGTATTAGATCCAATCCGATTTGAATATACCCTAATTCGAATATGATCCGATCCGTTTGCATCCCTACGTAAGATARGCTAACTTCGATGAGCTAGTTGACTTGGCCGAACTGATAGTAGATAACATGGCCAAGCCAATTGACCTAGTTGAGCCAACCTCACCAAACTCACCTTAGAAGGTCGAGCTGACCTAAAAGCCGTTTACTTCATCGAGCCAATTGACTTGGTTGAACCGGCAAGGTTGAGTTCACCTAAGCCTATTTGACTTGGCTGAACCAATCTAGTCGAGCTCACCTAAACCTAGTTGACTTAGCTGAGCTGACCCGACATGACTAGGTCGACTTGATACTAGCTCTTAGCTGAACCAATCTCTAGCAACTTTCCATGTTAATCTTTGTTGCAAACTTTGGCATCAACAAAATTATATATAATATATAAACATATAATTATACATTGAAATTGGATTTTTATCGGATCGGATGGGGTTATCTGAATCCTATCAAATTTTTAATTGGAATCTATTCACCCCATCCAAATTCAATCTGAAAGTACATATGATTCATCGGATTGGGACGTGGAATTTTCGGTATTATCGACAAACCACCACCAAATACCAATGAATTAATCTCGATGCTTGAATTGTAAATTGTATCGAATATGAACCAAGTTGAAGTATAAGGTCAACAACCCTTTAGTCAATAAAGATTATCAGATTGCATGCCCTGCCACATCTACAAACTTGCCCATTTCCTTTGTTTCTCTTTTATATATATATATATATATATATATGTGGAGTAAATAAATATTCGTTTAATCATTCAAGAATCTCCCTTTTAGTTGCTTAATGTGCAACTTGGGTGGACTCACGTTGAAGAATTTACATCTTCGCCCCACAATGCCCCATAGCACATCCTCACCTTGTACTTGTTATTGGGAGATGTTCCCAATATAATATAAGAGGATGTGATATGGGGCATTGAGGGGCGTGCCCTTGTGGGGTGCAGATGTGAACGCCAGGTTGAGTATTTATTAGAATTTAAATGGATCTAGATTCTGGTATGGGAGTTCAGGTTTATAGATTTGAATTCTTCAAATTGGATATCCAACTTGCATTCACATGAAGGCTGATTCAGTGGATAAGATTGACCCAATTGCAACCCTTGGCAAAAATGAAAATTTGAAGGAAAGTTCTTAAGAAATTTTATAAGAACTTTCCTTAAACTCTCTTATTTTCTGTGAAACCAAAAATTGCCTCAAAGGCAGTCGTAGAACAGCCATGGCCGTGAGTCATATGATGAAAGGAAATAGATTAGCCTCTAAGAAGGATATCCTTTGAAAATAAATGTGTAGTAATGCCTTATTTGTACCACTGCTGGGCCTTCCTCGTCACCACCGCATATTCTTCGCTATGATAGAATATATCCAAGAAGCAATTGACTCTGAAGTCGTCGTAATTTATTTATTTATTGGGTCCCCTTCCTGCAGCAAAAGCAAAGAAACTTCTCAGCTTCTCTACCTATAAACAAGAAAGAGACTCTACCCTTGGTGAAAACAAACAAACTTGAAAGTCTGAAACAACGCAAGGAGCACGGATGGCTAAAGGCGATTCTCATGATCTGAGTTCCCTTCTCAGCACTGGAGAGAGGGATTTCCTCGTGCATAACAACGGCCACCAGGTATCGTCTCTCTCATTTGTTCCTTTTCTTTCGTTCCCAGCTGATGAATGAATGTGCATCATGTGTTCTTCTTCCACTGCTAAAGAAACGTCATCTTCTGTTTACAACTTTACATATCCACAGATCAAAATCGATAGTCTCACCGGAAAAACCGTGGGGCTTTATTTCTCCGGCTCATGGTGCGGTCCATGCCGACGGTTTACCCCAATCTTAGCAGAGGTGTACCAAGAGCTCTCCTCGAAAGGCGATTTCGAGGTCGTCTTCGTTTCTTCCGACAGAGACGATGATTCGTTCGGCAAGTACTTCTCCGAAATGCCGTGGCTCGCCATTCCTTTTGCGGATTCGGGTGCCCGTCAACGCCTTAAAGAATTGTTCCAGGTGAGGGGGATTCCGAACCTTGTGGTCCTTGATGGAACCGGAAAAGTTTTGAGCGAACGCGCCGTCCAGATTGTCCGAGACTATGGTGCAGAAGCTTATCCCTTTACACCGGAAAGGATCAAGCTGTTGAAAGAGGAAGAAGAAGCAGCCAAGCAGAATCAGACCTTGCGCTCCATTTTGGCTTCCAGTTCCCGCGATTTTGTGATTTCCAACGACGGAAACAAGGTACAAAGTCAATAAGCCCACACCCATCTCAGGTGGACACATGATTCTATTGGGAATTTTGGTCAACACTATCATGTGAATCATTCATTGCTTATGACTTGTGTGGTTTACTGTTTTAGCCTCTTAATTGATTCCGAGGTACATTCTTTGCTCATCAGACACCCATATCGGAGCTTGAAGGAAAGATGGTGGGTCTATATTTCTCGGTTGGTTCACATCCTGCATGCCTCGAATTTACTGCAAAACTCGTTCAAATTTACAGGGAACTTAAGGAGAATGGAGAGGCTTTTGAGGTGGTTTTGATCTCCCTAGGTTACGAAGAGGAATCCTTCAGACAAGACTTTGAGAGCATGCCATGGTTCGCCTTGCCATTTAAGGACAAGCTGTGCGAAAAGCTAATCCGATACTTCGAGCTTCGAGCTCTTCCGACCCTGGTGATAGTTGGGCCTGATGGAAAAACTATCAATTCCAACGTTGCCGAACTGGTCGAAGATCACGGTATTCTAGCTTACCCCTTCTCGCCGGAAAAGTTGGAAGAGCTTGCGGAGATAGAGAGGGCAAAACGGGAAGCTCAGACTCTGGAGTCAATTTTGGTCTCTGGTGATCGAGACTTTGTGATCGGAAAAGGTGATGCTAAGGTAGTAAAATGATCCCTTATTAGTGGATAGTGGTTTTACTCCCAACCCTGTCTCTTGTATAAAATTAATTACTTGGTGATTTGCTCTTTCAGGTTCAGGTGTCCCAACTTGTTGGGAAGAACATTCTCCTCTACTTCTCGGCACACTGGTGCCCTCCTTGTCGCGCATTCCTACCAAAGCTTATCGAGGCATACCATGAAATCAAAGCCAAAGATGATGCATTTGAAGTAATTTTCATATCCAGTGATCGTGACCAGAAGTCGTTCGACGATTTCTATTCTGGCATGCCGTGGTTGGCACTCCCTTATGGTGATGAGAGAAAGCAGTCTCTGTCTCGCTGGTTCAAGATCGAGGGTATTCCTACTGTCATAGCCATCGGCCCCAGTGGCCGGACCGTCACCATGGATGCGAGAGCTCTTCTGATGACTCACGGCGCAGCTGCCTATCCCTTCACTGATGAGCATGTGAAGCAGATAGAGGAACGACTCGAAGCAGCAAAGAAGGACGGGTGGGTCTGTGACGGAGAGGTTTGCCGTAAAGCTTGAGTTAGTTCGTTCCCTCTTGGCGTTGTCTAACCCTGTCATGTTACCATGTGGAGTGTGAAAAAAAATAAGTAACGAGGGAGGTGTTGACCGATGAGGCTATGGTTTTAGCTTTTAGGGAAGATTTCTCATTTCTATGCGTATGTCTAATCTTCTTCTGAATTCTGATGGAAGTTAAATCCAAGAATGTTTGCTCGTGCTATAAAATAAATGAAATAATCTTTTAAACAATATCTGAGGTCTCCATTCGAACTTTGTTTGGTTAGCGGGAAATTATGAGGATGCAGACTACTACTAATACTTTTGAATCTTGCTTGATTGCGTGCGTGCTTGGAATAGTTAGATGATTACAATCTCCCTGAATGAATTAAGATAAAGGATCTCACCCCTCACCAATCACCAATACATTGGCATAAGCACATTGTTTCATTTTATTCAGGGATAAGTTCAAACAGCTTCATTACAATCTAATAATTCATCAAAGATGAGATGAAGGAATTACTTCTTTCCAACTGACTTAAAGACTGAAATCCTACACCACTCATCCCTGAAGAAAGTATACTTGATTTAGCCCTGCTTCCCTTGGTTTTAGATATCGAAGAACATGTCCGTTCGTCATAAACATTACGAGTGCCCGATCTACGACCGAATAAAGCAGAACGAGCACACAGTCGCTTATATTACCGGCTTATAGTTTACTCTAGTGTTATGAATTAGGTTTCTTCTCTGGATGAAGACGAACTACAAGTTTCTATTACATGGAGGGATGATGTGATGTGACCAATTCATGCCCGTCCAGCGAATGGTGAATCCGTAAGATTGACCACGTATCCGAAAATGGACCACTAGTCTCTTTATCTCTTCAATCTTTGCCTGTTTAGGGTGTTTTTGGTTGGAAAGATAATGGAGGAATTGAAGTGGACAAATGATTCCTTGAACAAAAACTTCAAATGGGGATATGTTATTATATTACACTGCTCTGCAATCTGAAGTCTGAAGAATGGATAAACTTTCATCCTAATTGAGGACTCAGCCACACCATTGCAGCTAAACATGACTAGGACTCATGATAGCATAAAAAACACTTTAATTAATTCAAAATCTCCGAAAAAAAAAACAACGAGAGGCGAATTTAACAAGAAATACAACAGAAAATCAGCACGAACAGTGTAGTTYCCAGAACTGTTCTACCTGAGAGAAAAAAAAAATGAGGGACATTTACCGCGGGTATGATCATTCTAAACAATGGAGATCTTCGCTCCAGCCTCTTCGAGCTGCTTCTTCGCCTCTTCCGCCTCTTCCTTAGACACTGCTTCCTTGAATTTCTTCGGGAGACCTTCAATCAACTCCTTTGCATCCTTCAACGCCAGATTCGTCAATGCCCTTACAGCCTTGATCGTTGCGATCCTGGCGTTGCTGGGGACCTCCTCGATTACAACATCGAACTCCGTCTTCTCCTCGACCGCCGCAGGACCCGCCTCCGCTGCAGAGCCAGGTGCTGCGGCGACTGCTGCCGGCGCGAAGGCGGCCGCGGAGACGCCTAGCTTATCTTGCAAATAGTCGACGAGGTTGCGAGCCTCTTCTAGGGTGAGGTTTGAGAGCTCTGTCCCAAGCTTCTCAATCTTCTCAGGGACAGCGACGGCGGAAATGGGAGGGAGGAAGTTGGCTCTGCGGGCGAGTTTAGGGCTTCGGATTGGGAATTCTAGGTTTTGCCTTGGAAAATTGGTGGATGAGTGGGAAGGAAAAGCAGAGTAGGGAGTAGAATGAGACGGAGAACGGAGGCTAAGTGTTGAGAGTGTCGATGCCATTTTTCTTTCTTCCCCCTTTTCCCTGGGCAAAGATGGCTGATAGTTTGGTACGATGGAGATAATGGAAGAACCAAGAAGATAGGATAAGGTGTTTCAGTATTTGTAACAACCAAATTAACGGAAGTGCCATTCTATCTTTATCCATTGACGATTAGACCCTTGTAAGTTACCAGAAAATTCTAACGACGTTTTCTTTTGCAGTCATTTCCGGTTTCCGGCTTCGGCTCGTGACACGTGTCTGATAAAAAAATATRAAATGGGGCATTCCGAGAATCGAACTCGGGACCTCTCGCACCCAAAGCGAGAATCATACCACTAGACCAAATGCCCAGCTGATATTAAAATTCACATCTTAAAATTTAAATGTCCAATCATTCGATGCCTATTCCGAACTTCGATTAAGGATTCGATTTTCTACAATAGACAAAAATGGTGGAAGAAAAATCGCTCAGGAAACCAAATGGCAAATGCTCTAGAGTATGGATGAGAAGACTTTTTTTAACCCCTGATGGCAGCGGGATTTCATCCCAGGTCTCTACTCCGACGAGTCAGAAAACCTACCAACTGAACCACCATCAATTGGCGTATGGACCAGGAGACTTGAAAGGAGAGTAAATGGCGAAAGATTCATGGAAATGGATACGAACCGTCCAAGATGACCAAAGGCCGCACTACATGCAATCAATTTGTTGGGAAGTCTTCCAAGGCCAGGAATGATCGGCTCTTCGTCTGTTGTCTGAGCTGAAACTTACGTACCCCTCGAGGATTGGAGGGCTGCACTCCCAGAAGGTTGAGTGAAGATCAATTGTGAAAAGGGTTCTATTATCAATTGGAGGGYTGCACTCCCACGCTGGAGTACTACTCAAAGGCAAAGCCACAGGGGTTGGGAGTATGCAACGACATTGACCTATGATCAAGTCCTGTTCCAAGCATATCAGAAATCAGAAGATCGACCAATATATTTCCACATTACCCTTCTTTAAGATTGATGGGACACACTCTTCGATGGCTGACACCAATTCTAGAATCTGATTCTCATGTTGTAATTCCCTCTTAATACCAAGGTTTTAAAAGGCTAAAGGTGTATTATGCATTTATGCCTCAAGGCGTTGCAAGGCATAAGTCTCAAAGCTTAAGAATAAAACTATTTAAAGTTTATAAATTGATAAAATTCATATATAATATATTAGGGTAAATTTATGACGCAGAAAAGATATGGTATGGAAAGAGTTTAGAACAATCAAAACTCATCCATGAATTTTGATAAATAACACCTTATTTGCTATTACGTTTATGATCCACTTTATTGATCAGTTATTTTTCAGATATCATATCTTTTTCATATCATAGTTGCAAATCAGAATGATAGAAGTATAATATATATATAAATTTATATGCAATAAATTTCAGCGGTTAAACATTAAATAAAATGATAACAAATCAACTAATAATTATAAACATTTTACATTTCATGTTTAGTTCTCAAATAATTTAAATGACCAATTTGGAAGAAAGGAAACATATGAAGAATCATCCATATATTTGGACATAAGATTTATGGTCATTCAATAGTTTAGAAGAAAGAATATAATTGGATACGAAAAATCACTTGATATATCCAAGAAAAACTAAAAACTTGATTGGCCCATTTTACATTGAACTTTCCCAAAACACTAAGAGAAACTAATAGAACTTGATTTCCCTGATTAGTTTTTGAGGCTTAAGCCTTGAGGCAAAATATGTGTCTCACCTCAAGGCTTTAAAACAATGTTGATACCTTCATCTATCAATGAGGCATCCTTTAACCAAAAAACAGAAAACAATATGCTCTAAAACAATGGTGTAGATATATAACTATCAATTTTTGGTAAATTATAAAACTTTATGATGAAATTCATGTCATACTTTCTAATGAAGAAGAAATGTTTACGAAGTACTATCATGCGTTTCCGATCTTCTATACCAAATGGATGCTACAACATGAATATTACAGAATTGAATAACATTAAGAGCTGTACATAGAAAGCCAATTGTAGCTTTCACCACCTCCGGCGTCTCCTTCCATACCAGTATGCAAACACAGCAATGGAGGCAGCCAAAACAACCCCAGCTGTTGCATGCCACGCATACATTGGTTTCTCCAAAGCAAGCGTTGAGCTGGTGATCTCAACAGGTTGTGGCGGTGTTGGTTGCTGAGTAATTGACAGTGCAAAACCCAGACCTTGTCTTTCCAGCTCTATCATGTCCTTTACCATGGGTCTCAGCCTGGTAGCCTTGGCTATGGCTTCATACTCCTCTTTGGTTCCACCCTCAAGAAAAGCTCCGACTAATTGGCCCTTATTGATCCAGTAAGCTCCAAAGATTCCTGCAGAGAAATCACCATAGTGTACAACCTCTCCTACATTGTCCCCATAGAACTGCCAAGACAATGTGAAGACTCTGGAGTAGAAGAATGGTAGATAGTCAAAATCACCAGTCTTGTCTGGTGACATTATTGCAGCAACAGCATGTCTTGCCGACTTCCGAGCTGAGTCAACATGCTCAAGCCTTCGGATCTCACCAAAAAGTTTGACTGGGAAAGCTGCAACATCTCCAATGGCGTAGACTGAGTTATTGCTTGTTTGCATCCGCCCGTTTACTTTGATTCCTCCTTTCTCCAAAGTTATCTGACCCTCAAAAAGACCTGTGTTTGGGCGGATTCCAATCCCCACCACAACCATATCTGCGGGTAGCCTTGTCCCATCTCTAAGAATAACTGCTGTTACCTGTAAAATTAAGAAGAACAAACATAGTGATAAAGTATATAATTACAGCCTAGATCTGGACAGCCCCAGGCTAAAAACTCTTTCCCTACCCCTGCTCTTGCAGTCTTGCTAAAGAATCTGCCAGCAAATTTGCAGACCTAGGAACCCAATTAAACGAGGCATTCAACGAGATTCCAGTTGCTACTGGCCCCCTCACCAACTGCCTAAATTTCCATGGAAGATGATTTTGTGCTTTCATCTAACCTATTACAATCTGGCAGTCCCCTTCAACAATCACATCTCTCCACCCGTTTCAAGCCTTGAATTAACGCAAGCAATTATGCCCTCAAGGAATGTTGCGTTATGTAATGGCACAATACTTACCTTTCCAGAGGAGTCATTTTCAAATGATGACAGGACAGTGCCTTTAATGAACTTCACTCCTTTAGACTTGTAGAAATCCTCGTAGTAACTTGAAATCTTGGGAGTGAATAAACGAGCCACTGAAAATAAAGAGAAGATAGAGTTAAATATTGCTGTATTTTGATCATATAACAGATAGATTTTCCAAGAAGTTTTGATGTTAAAAAAACTCAAAATGATGAAAGTCTTGCTAGAAAATTCAAAAAGAATCACAAGAGTATCAGGGGTTAGATTACTTATATAAAAAATACCAGGGATTAGATAATAAAAATTAAGACATGAAAAAAAAAACCACAACCACAGGATAGGATTTGTGTGGCTGATCCCAAATAGTTAAGGCTGAACTGAATAGAGTCAGAGTGAAGAAGATCAAAATAAGAACGATGCACACATTGCTTTCATCTTTGATCCCCCAACTTGTTTTTTGAGTGTAAATCAATGGGATGAAGATCGTTTGTAGGTCTTGAAGTTGAGAATGAGAATGCTAAGAAAGGCAAAGCAAGGAAGATAATTAGGACCAAAATAGCTAAGGGAAAAGGGTCCAATCTTTAGGGTTGGGGTCCTCACCCCCTATTTATAGAATCGAGGATCCAGGCTACTTGCATGGTTCTGTACGTTCCTGAATCTTCTTTGCTTTAACAAACATGCGGGAAGAAAACCCCATCTTTTCATACCCAACAGACACGTGTCCTGGGGGGATCATGAGGTCGTTAGACCATGCTCTTGGGAGCCACAGGGAACGACACATGTCCGCATGGATATCAGGTACAAACAACTCGTGGTTTCCCTAAGGTGACGACGCGTTTCACCCTAAGTGTTATCCCAGATGCTAGAATCTTGCAATGAGCCTCACATGAGACCATCTTGCATTGAGGTCATGATCATCCGCTAACTCTAGATATACGATCTTGCTCAACTCTGCGAGATTGTATTATCCTCAACCAACGAGATCTTCTGTCGCTGGATCTTGTGTTCTCTCTCAAATCCTTAAACGTGTATCTACTCTCTCACATTGAGCAGTAACAGAATTTTATTGCTTAAAAACAATATTTACAAGAGTAATGTACAAGGAGTACAAGTACATCATATATTTTTGCATAGTCTTTGATCCCCAATTATGATATGAAATCTTGTGTCATAAGCATATTGACTATTCTGTAAACCAATCTAAGACTGCATCATAAATTCCAAACAAGGAGAATACAAGAATACCAAGAAATACTATATTCCTAGGACACTAGTTCAGTTGAAACTTGGGCTTGGAAAAACAAGATACAAATCACAACTTCAGTTTAGATTGGGTTTGGATTGAGGGTTGGGGTACTTGACCCAGTCCAGGCTTAATTCCTTACAATGTACTATGGGTGTGAGCATAAGGGCATGGCATTACATATTATAAATATTGTATATAATGGGTACTTAATATTTATATAATATCTAGATGTGCAGATCATGTCAACTAAGCAAATCCTTATCCCTAGTATTTGGAGCAGGGAATGTTGAATGGATGATTATCTTCTGGCCTTCTTTTTTTGGTTGGTTTTCCATGGCTTGGAGTTCAAGCATTTTTCAGTTGTTGATGATCAAATTCAATTTGAATCATAGTTTCCAARGCGACGCTAAGTGACAAGGCGCCCTTGGAGGCTTGCCTCACCTAATCGCCAAGCAGTTTTGTACACTGCATTATAACATACTTTTATATTCTTAATTTTTTGAGATTATAATTATAAAATAGACATTATTAAACTAAAATATTCATTTAATGTGTTTATATACTAATTTATTTTTATTATTTTCTAATTTGTTAGGGTTTAATCAACACGAACATTGCTAAATGCTGTATTTAGCCCTCAAAGAATCTGAGCCAATAAGTAAGGAAGACTATGGTTTGAATAAAATTTCTAATACATCATTATATATGAACTATACTACCATACTTCTATCTCTTCATAAAGGGCCCTTTTGCCCTCTGGCTCCTTTTCCTTATTCCAGTTTTTACTTCACGTATGAAAAGGAATGGCTATTTCCTTTAATTATGAGTTATGAGGCCTTTTCTCAGTACCGGGGTCAATGTCCTTTTTGGCCTTCTCTCCACTTCTTTTAAGATCCTCAACTTGCATTAGGACAGATTCTTACTTGTGAAGTGGGTGGTCTACAACCATAATAATGCAATTATCTTAGTTTACTTTCACCCATTTGTCACTTCTTGGGCTATTCTTAGGTTCACATGAATGCACATACTTCTACTTCTATTGTTACCACTCATCCATCTCAGCAAGTTCATGTCTGCTACACTCGTCTGATGGTCCAACCTCTCCCCTTCATTCCACTAGCTCTAAATTTTGTAGGAATCATCCTCTTCAGTCTAGAAGATGCTGAATGGATTATTTGGTAAGGTTTCTAGATGATTGTAGTGGAGATTTGGGATAATCCTCTCCTCTTCAGTCTATATTCTGTGATGTAAAATACTTTGTACAGACTTTATTCTTTACAAAAAATGATAAAGCAATTCAGTCACTTATCAAAATAAATCCTCTTCAGTCTCTCCTTAACCATGGATAATTAGACAAGGGTAGCAAGGATTGAGTATGATGCATATGTTGATTACCAATCCAAATTGTACCTCATTCACACTTTTGTTATTGTTAAACCTGAATTGCATTTGTTCCATTTTAGTGCTACTAAATTCTTTTCATGACATATATTCTAAATTTTACTGAACTTGTGTTATCAAGGCATCTTCTAATCACTAGAACACTATAATGTGATGTATGGTGATTGAGCACCTACACGATGGAACTTCTGTAAGAGAAAATTGTAATGAAATTTTATAATTAGCCATGAATATAATCTGCATGAGCACTTGGGTTATCAAAATGTTTAAAACAAAATATTGGCTTGTAGAATACTGTAGATACATAAAGAGTTTATTATGAAGGGTTAATAATAAAAACAAGAAACACCACACCAAACCTGATGAAGAGTAACTTACTGCAATGAGCCTCTGGGAAGACCATGGTTACATTAATTTTATTTATAACTAGAGAAGCAGCACATTCCATTCCTATATATCCACCACCAATGACAACAGCATTCTTTTCAGCGCAAGATTGCATCACACCAACAAGCCTAGTTGCATCGGCTAGATCGCGTAAATAACAAATATTTTCAGCATCTAATCCATTCACTCCAAATTCCTCAAGCTTCAAGGCCTACAACAAGTATATGCAATACTATTAGAATCATTTGTTAATGCCCATTAAAATTTCTTATAATGTTGGATTCCAGTTAATGCTGAAACTAGAAAGAGAAAAAGAAAGTAGAAAATTCACAGATAGATTTAGCACCCGAGCACCAGTTGCAATGATAAGAATCTTGTAACTTATGGTTTCTCCAGTGGCTGTTAGCAATGTCTTCCGCTTCACATCAGCAGACTTAACTCGAGTTCCAAGAACTAGCTCAATTCCTTTGAAGGAAGATCCAATTTCCAATGATTAGTTGGCTATAATGATGAGAAACAAATTCATCAAATTTAACCAAGATCAATTTTTATTTTAGCCAGTCAGACAATGCAGTTGCATGAATTGCCAAAAGAAAAAAAAAGGACAAAGAGAGAAATCTTATGGGTAATATAAAATGAATTAGATTCGAGAATAATTGACATGCTAGATGTATAAAATTGTTTTAACTGAAATAAAGTTCCATAAGACATAATTATAGATCTTTCAACTATTTCCGTTAAAAGGCCGGCACTCATTAACATCTTGATTGCATGTGTGAAAACCTGCATAGAAATATTTCCACTACTCTTATTGAGAAAATAAGTGCATCATGATATTTCGTATTTGTTAAAAAAAAAATTCCTAAATGCCATTAAACCCTAGATTTTATGGTTTCTCTTTCTTTTGGAAACACATTTATTTGTCTTCTTGTGCATGGGTAGGTTTGTAACTTCAGGCAGAAACAAAGCACCATCGATTTCAATGAATGCCTCATGCCAATAAGGAGGTATTAAGAAATGAAGTTTTGATCCTTTCTTTTAGTCAACAAGTTCAAACCTTGATCTTTCCCCAGAAAATATGGTTCACATATACAAGGTGAAGAACCATGCCACAGCAAGATCCACATATTAGGGATCTCAAGAACATTGTTAGAAATTCAGCATATGACAAAAATTTGGTATACGAAAGGTTCACGTTTAGTTTATTTTGAAGAATGAAAAGAGGGAATTCTTTTGTATTCTCTTTGGTTGCAGGTGGGTTCCCCCTTAAGATGTGGCAAGAATTTTCAACCGAGATTCCTTGAGCCACCAAAGAAAAGAGGGATGGTAATGTGGAGAGCTATGAAGGCAGCTATTTGCTGGGTGGTTTGGGAAGAAAGGAATAACAGAATTTTCTCGGAAAAAAGTAGAACAGTGGAGGAAGTGATTGACACCATAAAAGTTAAAGTAGCTCATTGGGTAAAATCCTTGCATAGCTTCCAAGATTTCTTAGTCACAGACATTCTAAGAACCTGGACAGAAGTAGCACTATCCTCAAGAGTGAAAGAGAAAGTTAAGGATGGAATGGAAACCTCCAGAAAGCAACAGGATTAAACTGAATTTTGATGGAAGCTCTCTTGGAAATCCGGGACTGTCAGGTATAGGAGGAGCAATCAGAAATTCTGAAGGAGGATATTGGCTTTGTTCTCAGGACCAATTGGCATTGGCAATTCACTAAAAGTTGAGTTATTGGCACTGATACAAGGGCTGAAGCTAGCTAAGCAGCTAGGACTTAGGCATATTGAGATAGAGGGGGACTCAAAGGTGATCAYCTCTTGGGCTACAAACAATAGAATTACTCAGTGGACCTTCAAACATGTGATTAGGGAAGTGGAAAAGGTTGCAAAGGAGGTAGAGACTGAATTCAAATGGSTCAGAAGGAGTGCAAATGGGCTAGCTGATTATCTTGCCAAATAAGGGGCACTGAGGCAACAATTGTTTTGGGCTGCGCTGTAAAGTGGGACAGAAATATGTACTAGTTTGGGAACATTATTCCATAAAGCTTTATTTTAAACCTATTTTAAATAAAACTCTCTTTTTTTGAAGATAAATAAAGAAGAAAATTTATTAATGAAACAAAAAAAAGGAGGATACAAACGGGTGATAAGACATCACCCAATCCCAGGAAAACAACATCAGCTTAACCCCTTATACCTAAAAAACAGCCCTGAAAATCAATTACATTTTGAGGTACCCACCCCACCCAAAGCTGAAAACCCGAGAAAACATAACACCCCCTTCCATTGAAACTCATACAAGCAGGCAAAACTGATAACTCCCACCTAACCCTTTATCTCAACTTTAAAAGAAAAACACCTACCATGAACCCATAAACCTATTTGATGGGACTTAAACACCATGCTTTACCCAATTCCTCATTGCCTCTGATATCTTAAACCAAACTTTCTTTTCTTATCTGAAAGGTTTTCTTCGTCTTCTTCCCCTTCTTCTTTGGAACCACCCCAAAAACTCCCAGCTTTAATCTGGCAAAAACTTTTGAAACTTGCACTGTTTGGTTATTTTAAATAAAACTCTCTTTTATTGATAAAAAAATCAGTAAATCAGTAAAAGAAACTCAATACGTAAAAGAAAAGGGGAAAAATAGATGTTCATGTATAATACATTCCAGATTTAAAAATTCAGGTTACATGGAATTTGATTCTTTGATTTTCTAATTTTATGTACATATGTGAATATTGATATTATGTAAAAAGATATTTTGTATTTTTAACACAATTTTTTTACCAGAAATTATTTTTTCTCAAATAATTTGGCAAATTACCAATTTGAGGTCAAGAGTTACAGCAGTCTCAAGTTCTCCACAGAAACCTGTTTCATGTGTAAGTCCTGCTATCCCTTCTATTCTTTGTGGGTAACAATGAAAGTCATGTAACTATCCTTGTTTGCCTTATCATGAAAATAATCGGTCATAATTAGTTAAACTTGATGCATGAATGCTGAAAAGGGATAAACTGCAAATTAAATCAACAAAGATGTAAAAGACTGTTTTATTTGCTGATTGCAAAAGAAAAATATGCGGTTATGCGAATGAAGCTCAAAATGAAGACCAATATCATAGGTTAATAAAGCCAAAGGACCAGGGTTGACATGACAGCATTCCACTAGAAAATGTATAAGAGTTACCAACAAACCAACCAAACCAAATAGAAGATGTGAGATTTAAACTGAGATGGATATATAGGATTGGAGAGCACCTATATGGCTTATGGCCATTTTAAAGTGTTAGACAAGAAGGACCAACATTCAAGAAGGAAATGAAAACCATAGAAGAATATCAGCAGCCTTATTTCTCCAATAGAGGAGAGAAATGGGTTTTCAAAGACATATGAGGATGCTATGTGTAGGGAAAAAGGAATAAAAGGAGAGGAAGAGGGGTAAGCATAGGTAGAAAAAAAAATGGTGATTCTCACATAACATAATTCACCCACTAGAATAGTAAGTAGTAGCTAAGGGTAGAAAAAAAAAATCTTTTGATTCTGATTTACAAGTGTAAATGAACAGCATAAATCAAGTGTAATTTAATTACATAATTTTCTTTTGAAAAAATCTAGTGCATATTCTCTCTTTAGTTTGAGACAAACCATAAGGAATATACAGATAGTGAGATAGATAACATTTTTTTATGTATAGCAGTCATGTAGGGATCATAGTTAGCCAAGTTTCACGAACAAGGCTTAGGTGGTTTTTCTCTCCACAACAAGGTTTTTAAAACCAGACCGGACAGGGAACCGTTTGGGGGTCCAGTTCCCAGGTCGAACGGTCTGAACAGACAACCCTCCTTGTAGAGGAGGTTATAGACATAATGTGAAGAGATAGAGGAGGATCATCTTCTTTCCTACCTTCACTGACTTGGGCAATTAGGCTGGACTTCTTCCTTGTTTTTTAGTTCTCCATGCCTCCCTTTCTCTTTCTCCTTTTGTTTTGTCTCTCTTGTTGCTGGAACTTTAGTTATTAAAATGGCATTAACCCCTTCTCCTTGTATGAGATGAGCTTATATAGAAAACAAGGTGATTAGGTTACCTCCACCACAATCCCACCCTCCTCCAGGGTGCCATGTTTCAATTCATCCCACTTAAATTTAAGGAGTCCCATCAAAGAAGTGGAACACCTCATAAATAAGAGAAGGTGGGGCTAGATTTTTAGATGTCTAGGAGGCCACTCTTAACTAACATGGACCTAAACCTTTTAGGGCCTGCTGCCCACTTAAACTAGCTCTACTGCAAGCCCTCTTTTAATTAAAGATTTAATAAATTGTGATTGAATCCATCTTTCCCTGAAGCCAATTTAAGGATATCTGCCCACTTAAGTGGGCATTATTATAGGCCTATTTTTCTTAATTAAACTATTATAACCCACCTGTATGATCAGGCTTGAATAAATAGCTTATAAGGAACAAAGTTATAAGTTGTGATTGGAATTAACTTAATAGCTTATTCCCAATCCAGCAACTATAAGGACTCCACAGAGTCAAAGAAGGAAAACTGTCATTTGACAATCCTTTTGG